TACCAGCCTTCCAAGTTTTCGTCTATCTCATGTGTTTATTATTCTTCTTCATTGTTTCATAAACTTTAATGTAGAGCAATTCAGTAGAATATCGTGGCTATGGGCATACAGCTGCTGGTTCAAACCCATATTAAGTTGGCTTTCGAAAGGTAGAAAAAGGTTTAGAAAATAAAGGTAGGTAAAAGATCAGTCCAAAAGTAATCCATTCTCTGTTCATTCTCTTCGAATATGACAGTGTTTGCTACATTCGCCTTTTTCACTTCCTTGTTATCAAAATGTTTTCTCCTTTACTTCGACACTTGTTCCGTATCTAATATCGATAATAGTTGCCAGTTATATGTTTCATTTAAAGAGCCTTCCAAAACATGACTCGATTAATTCTGCTCCTCGTACTAGTCTGTTTGACCTCAGTAGTGACAGCGCAGTGGTGGGGTAAGTGATTTCAAATAGTTTATAGAGCATTTTATTTTATAATTTGGCAGTATTTGGCGCGTCTAGTGCAATGGTTAATGTCATTTAATAAACACTGGTCGTTGGTTCTATCCAGTATCCCAAACCCACCAAGCGTCCCATCCTCCTAAATCAGAAAATTGCTACCAGAGTTGTTTGTGAGGATAAAACGCTGACTTGATACGTCTGTATTCCACTTAAAGTTATTGGATAGGCCAAATGTGCTTTCTATTACATACGGGATGCTAGACATGGAGTTGTATGCATGGTATATTCATCAAGGACTGCTCAACACTGAACGCTTTATCCTTTCATTTTGTTATCCATCGATCTACGACACTAGCTAGCCAGAAAGGATTCCAATAAATAAGAGTGTTGCGTCAGCGATGAAGAGATTTCGGTAGACTGAAAAGAAAAACAAAACTACTTTCTGGTATACGGTCCTTTCTCACCGATTGTTTACATCAAAGTTTATCGTCTTAAAATATATTTGGCCTTGACGACGATAATCAACAATTAATAAGATCATGACGTCGTTATTCATTTTTGTATTGCTTAATTGCTTTCGCTGAAAAAGAATCTACGGCGATTTTCGGTTTTTGTCGAATTGAGATAGAGCGAGAGAAGGCAGTAAAGAATCGTCGTGATTATTTTTGTCTGCCTTCAACTAATTTCTCGACTATAGAACATCTAACAACATAATTTCCAAGAGTATCCAATAACCTGAAAAACTTTTACCCTTGGCTTCAGGAACATCCTTCTCTTCGATAACGCCGTGATCTCGAAGCTGTTCATCGTTCTTTACACGAATATAATCTAAAGGATCATATATCGTCGTCATCCTACTTGCGCTACGGCACACGGGAAAATTAGCGCGACATGTAAATATGACCATTCGCAGATTGCAAGCTTTGAGTTTAATGCGCGCAGCAGTTCTGTCCATCATTTGCATCGAACTCAATGCATGCAGTCGGCACTTTCTTTGTTTTTAGTACACATACCCTTACGAAAGGAAAAAATGGAGAATTTTGCAGGAGTTGCTGGTAAGACATATATAGGTAATACATTTTATTTCCAATGGCTTGGTTTAACACATGGAACTATTTTACCATACCCTCTGCTATCAACTGATAGCTTCTGAAACACAGATATTGTGTTGGGTGTTGGTCACGGATAGTTCTATTCCACGCTTAAAATTGTACGGAATACCTATTTTGAAGGGGTTCCTGTGATACACAACCAACCTGTGATTTGGTGCTAATCGACTAAGTTTTAATTCAAATTGCTATGGTGAATGATAGCCATCGTTAGAGTGCGAGGATACAAAAAATACTGAGAAGGAGACCAACAGGTTGCAAAACGCTCCCAAAGGAGTGAAGTTATACGTCTTTATGATGGACCATAGTAACATATAGTAAATAGTGCCATAAATAGTATTCATACCGCAGAACGATAGAGCAAAGCCTTTTCTACAAACCTTTCATGTTCACAACTCGCGAAGTGCTCTACTTATCGAAAAATTACCATTTGTTTCCAAAAACCAACAAGTCCATAAAGGATTAAGAGGACAAAGCTCGGCGTTGATCAATCGCTGAGGGATGCGCCATATATTCGACTTCGCTAAGCATCGTTTGGAGGTGATTGAATGTATATCTGGCCTTTACAATGACTCGCGTTGACCTACCGATGTATCGAGCCAGTGCTGCTATCCTCCCAGACAAGTCTGGTACCAAGTTGTCCACCTCGGATGAATGGACGGCTTGGTGGGCCAAAGGAGCGGGGATCGATTCCACGTACGTGTTACAGGGCGTCCCCGATCACTGCACCACAAGCGCCCTAACAATTCCATAAAGGCTGAAAATTGGGCTATGCCCAGAACTCGAAACTAGGTTTCGTCGCGAGCGTGTTAAAGATTTGAAAAAAGGTGCTTTCAGTGTTAGATTTTCCGACCACTGACAAATGGATATAGACAGAGAATCATGGTATTTCTTCGTTAGCAATTAGGACGAAAAGGGAACAAGTAGCCACTGGGGTCATTTCATTTTGGCCTGATTCCAACTAGATTTGTTGTTATATTTATTTATGTGATCTTATAAACTGATCTTCTTAAGCTGACGCGAGGTTGGTACAGATCTTCGTTGTCGTTGTCGTTGTCGTTGTTTTTGATGTTCTTGATCGATGGCTGACGTTTCGGCGACTTCGCCTTCCTCAGAGCCGTGATGTTATGTGCGGGACTTTTTGATGTTATTGATCGGGATTGCACATAACATCACGGCTCTAAGGAAGGCGAAGTCGCCGAAACGTCAGCCATCGATCAATAACATCAAAAACAACGACAACGACAACGAAGATCTGTACCAACCTCGCGTCAGCTTAAGAAGATCAGTTTATAAGATCACATAAATAAATATATCAACTATTTATGCCGAGGTTCACAGAAAGTCGGTCTTTCGAGTTATTAGATTTGTTGTATTTTTGACCAGCCTTGTAATTGCATCCATAGTTATTTTGTCAAGAATTTTTTTATAGTATCTTTCTTTTGCAAAAATTGTACGATTGGTGATTTGGAAAAGTAAGACCACTGAATAAAAGTCTAAAGCAAGTTGTTTAAAGTTTTTTTTTCACTAATTCTCTAATGTGCTAGATCACCATCATCACCATCACCATTCTCATTCGCATTCCCATGAGCATTATCATCCTCACTACGAAAGTCATTATGGCGGTTACCATGGCGGATACCGTCCATTTAGTGGAGGGTTTTTCAGTAAGTACATTATCTTTGTTTTTTCGGTTTCCAAACACTTTAAGTTTTCTTTTCTTATTTAACTCCGCCCCTCTTCCTTCATTTAAAGTTTCAAACGATGTGTTCGCCCACTTCACATCTACCTTTTTACTAAGGAATTTCGATTCTCTTTATGACAACGCTGATTGTCTTCTTGTATAGCACAAGATTCCATCAAAGGCCCTCCAGAGTTTAGCGTGGTGGAAGTGAAGTGAAAATGGACGCTAAAGCGAGGAAGTTGATCAAAACCAATTCAAGTGATTTTTCAGGTGGCTGGGGAAAGAGATAAATTGGATGGATAAGTCGAAAATGGTGCTACCTCTTCGGTTATCAATTTTATATACATATATGTATATATATATATACTCTAAACACTGTAAAAGAACTGTGCATTTATTATTTATAAACACGTATATTGGCTTAAGCCTTCTTCTACTATATTGTTATCCATGACGAAAGAAATAAAAATTTCTGGATAAGTTCGATATTCCTATAATCCTGAGCATTTGAAGTTCCTACGAAACTCTTCAAGTGAGCGTAAAATGAAGATCAGCGCTTTTTAGAAAAACACATGTTTTTCGTTATTTTGCAAAGACCATATCAAACAATGGATGTTAAACCGAAAAGACAGAACGGTTCGATATTGATAGAACATGATGGCTATAGAAATAGTCAACTTTTCATCAAAGGTCTATAAATATATGGTTGTTCCAATGCAGGTGAAATACGAGCGACGAGATCTGTTATGGCCTTGAGTTAAGACAGTAAAGCTTGAAGGAAACAGCTCTGGTCAAAACGTCATTGTTCTGCTCTAACTGATCCTGCTTTATTTTGTAACAAAGGATCCAGCTGGAAATAGGCGAAATTTTATTGGAAGATCGGCAACCTTTAGTTTTCATGGTGTGCGAGTCTATTAGGAACTTTGAGCGATGGACCGATAGGTATGCAATAATCTATGATTGATTTATCAGTGCTTTCTAGCTAGTGATCCTCTTTTGTCGGAGGTTTTCTTTCCAACGACTTCAAACAAAAAAGAATTTTGTAAGAAATGTACAAATGTTCCTGAGGAACTGAAACTAATATCAGTTTCTAATGCAAGTGATTTTCAGACTTTATTGCGTTAATTAATGTCCTACACATTACTTACCCTATTATTAAAGTATGGTTTCATGTGGCGAAGTGGATAGCGGTGCCAGACAATGCACAAAGGCTTTATAATCTGGTTCGGGGCATCGAGCTAAGCCCTTCGTCCTTCCGAAGTGGGGCAAATTCCTACCAGACTTTTCACTGACTTAGGACATTGATAGGTAGCGGAAGTGATTGTATTGGCCATACATGCATTGAGTCACTTCTAACGATTCTTGACTAAGTCATGAATACATGGAGGATCTATAAGGAGTTGGTCAGAGCTTAATGGCCGATCCGTTACATTTTCTTAGCCTTCTAAACGTGTTCGTCATGGAAAGGAATTTGGGCGTAGCTTGAAAAAATTAAACTACTTTGGCCAACTGACTGAAGAAATCATATTTATCTAGTTCTGGAAAAAGTGTTGATAGTAGAAATTACTTCGAAAACGATTTCGTTGTTCAAATATTGAAGAAGCATAAATACTGCAAGATGATTTATTCAGTAGCCGACAGCTGACAATCTATTGATCCAGATTATCAAAAAATTCGCTTGCTTCTCTATTCGTAAAAACGGGACATTTTATTTTGTATAGAAAAAATCTTATGTCTAGGATATTATTCCTAGTCATCTCCACACACTTTCATGCGAAGTCAATTATACAATCACCGGCACCCCAATTGAACACATTCACAGCACCACACTTAGCGGATTGGTATGGTGCTGAACCGCCAACACCACCGCTGCAGGCCTGCTGACTGGTGTTCTGTTCCCAGCCGACGTCCGGCACGGTGTAACCCTGAAATTGCAAACAAGCGCTTAAATAGAAAAGGCCGGAAAAGAGCCATGCCTATAATAACAACAGAACAACCGCTTTTTGACAACTATGGTGTTATTCCTAAGTTGTTTAAATTAGTTTTCTTATATTGCTAAAAAAAAAGAGAGCACCTCTTGCAGAATATCCCAATTTCCAAGAAAACAAATGCTTTAGCATGAAACCGTACAAAAGCATTTTCAGTTAACAAACCAGTAGAATAATAATTTAGTATATTACTTCTGTGATGTTAACACTCGTCTAACATTCAGCTCGGCTTCACCAATCAAATCACTTTAGTAAGTCGGGCACTTTGCTTACTTTGAGTTCAAACGAACCCTGATCGGTTTTTGAACAATCGACGAGTAATTGCACCATCCAGTATCCGCTACCGTATTTGTTATACGGTTGATATTCAACATCTGTCGATTTGTTCGATGTGTACACCAATGGTGTACCAAGCGCCACCTCACCGTTATGTGTTCCTGAAATAGTAATCGGATCAATCCGAACAAGTTCACCGACTAGAAACACTCCCTTGGAGTTACAGTTAGCAAAAATTTTTCTCTACTTTTGTTTTTCTTGAAGGAAAGAACTCTGTATTCGGCACTGATCAGTCCCTTAACGGTGCGCCACACATTCGATTCCATTCGTAGCATCGTTGCGATGATTCAATGCATAGCTGGCCTACATAGTGATCTGCGGTACATTACCGATGCATCAGAGCACTACCTATATCATCCCAGACAAAACTGATAGCATTCTCCGACGGCTCCGAAGGGATGGAAAGGTTAGCTAATTCGTCACGTAGGATAGAATCACCGCCTCTTATGTATTTTATGGCATTTATAAAAATTGCGCTGCATAAGCACTTTCGGCTGACCACTGTTTTTATTAACACCGAATAGTAGCAGAAGAATTGTCCACCACAAACCTTGTTGCTTCTCGGCACCTTCAAAGTCAAGAAATTGATCGTTTTGGCTCCATGATAAATACCCAGCGTAAACAAATGGTACGGTAGTGTTATGGATTATGGGAATAGCACATTTGTCGCTACCTTGTTGATACAACCCAGTAGAGCACACTGAAAAATGCTTCATTATCAAGGAGCATCCTGCGACCACTACACAACACGTATCAATCGATTAAAGTGAAGGGAAGATCCTTATATGAGCCAGATAGTTACATAAAGTAATTACCAGTTAGAAAAAAAATTTCGCCGAAAAAAGTCAGTCTCAACTCTTAGCTCTTGACTATGACAACGATATTCCTCTAGATTTTCACACAATTGGACTTTTAATCATAAAGTTCCCCAGCAACACATGTTCTATACTGAATCAATCACAGCACTTCTATGAAACAAAGTTTTATTGGAAAGTTGTCAAAAAAAGAAAAAGAACGATTTTTTAAACCTTGTGGCAAAATAATACATTGGTGCAGTAAAAATGGCTTAATGATAAGATATTAAGCCGAAAAAATTTCAAAAATTGCTTGTGATCGTAGCAATGACACCGTAGTTATTATTTTAAAAAAGTATTACGAAAAAGTGGTGATACCGTTATGATTTGCATGACTTGTCCCTCCTCGAATAAAGAGGTTTTGACCTTGATAGGTGTCCTTTTTGATAAACACCAGCGTCTTCTGATAATGATAATGGGGATTCATGACGAAAGTAGTAACGCCGCCTAAGAGAAGATCTTCAGTTTTGCGTGAAGAATAAAAATTGAGAGCAAGATGGGAAATAATCCCTACCGAGGCGAGACAAAGCCGAGAAAGCCACCGCTTGCTTGCTGTTAATTTTTACATACGCAGAACCTTGAAAAAGATAACTTTCAGTCTTCACAGTAAATGATTTCGCAATCAGAGTAGTGGTTCGAAAATATTCTTTATTTGTGTTCGATACTTTTTTCATGGAAAAAATAATAAAATATCTCGGTGCTGATTAGTCCCTGAAGGATGCACCATGCATTCGACTTTACTAAAGGTCGTTAGAGGTGATTGAATGAATATCTGGCCTATTAAATGACTTGTAGCCGTCTGACAATGTGCAGAGTCCGTGCTGCTATCCTACCAGACAAGTCTGATGCCAATTTGCTCGCCCACGTGGGAAGAAAAGCTTCGTGAGCATGAAGTTTAGGATCGAAAATTTGTGCAATACAGGGCACTTATAGTCACTATGCTACGCGCGCAAATGTTTCCTGATCTCAAAATTAACCCAAACTGGGAGAGATTATGCTCCTACGGAGCGATAAGGAACTCGTCAATACTATATCGCCAAGAACAGTAAAAAAAAATGCATTATTGGCAAAGATTTTTGGTATCCTTTGAGTGAGCTTTAGGAAAACTAAGGTTAGGCGATGGGACACATGACAATCGGAAACGTTGAGACATGAAGATTGTGCATTTCAAAGAGATATATTCACCCTAAAAATCTTTACAGTTTGCTTTGTACAGAACACAGGAAAGCTCAGGAAACATGGATCATCATCATGGTGAATAATACTCCCATCTTTAGCATTATATATTTAGAACATTTGCTCTTGAAAACCAAAACAAGTGCTAAGGCAAAAAAAAAAGTTAAAGATATACTTAACGCACCATCTCCGTCTACAGTAATCGTCTCATCGGTGCATTTCCCCTTCACCAAATTTCCCGCGTACTGGTCACAGTAATCACCGGGTGGCATCATCGTAGAGAAGATTCTGCGACTCATTTGTTTGGAAAACCAAATTTTATTTCTTAAGAGCTAAAAATTTACACAGCATAACATCGGTGAAGAAGTACGCTTTAGTTCTATTAAATATAACGACAATTTTAGCTAAATGGTAGCAGCCCATTATTTCCAATAAAATCAAAAAGTTGGTAAGTTATGAATGCCACAAAAAATAATTCAGATAACAATAGTGATAACGATATAAAAAATCAGACAGTGCTTTTCCCTAGTTGTTTTCCTCTACCTCAGACAACGTTCATTTATTCATTTAATAATTTTCACATTAAAAAATAAACGTTGAACAGCAAAAGCCAACTGCATCGTAGAAAAATCATACTAAGTCCTTGTCGTTGCGATTGTATAGTAATAATTTTCCAAATAAATTGATGATCTGCCGAATAGAAGTTTTCTGAGATGACATTTTTAGACATCCGCATTTTTTATGCCAAATGCTAACTGGTTTACCGTACTAATTCAAATTCGGCACCGTACTTACTTGCGCCAAACTTCTTTGCTTCCATTAAGTGCAAAAAATCCTCTCTTTAATCTGGCGAAGGTGATTCGTTGACTATCAGTGACAACAGGTTTTCTATGTTAAATTCAATTTCTTCCTCTATTTGCTTTCCAGTATTTTTTAAATAGTTATTAAGTACTTGTGCTACAGCAGCAACAGAGATGTAAAGTACACACGCCACCATGTGACTCTGAGCTAAAACCAAAATTCATGGAAAAAAATGTTGGGCGATTGGTAAAATGAGAAGCGGATGGTGATTTTTTCAACAAACGTCTCGTGGGATTTGGATGAAATTGGAATTTTAAAAATCTGGACGAATCAGATATCTCTAAATATGTTCCACTGAAAATGTTGATGCTCTGAAAACTTGAATAAATCTTTCGTGACTTTCTGAAAAGGCAAAAACCCTTTAAAGATGAAAGCTTAATATTTGATCCGATGCTCGGAATGTATATCAGTCTACAGTCATTTGGTGAGCGCCATTACAATAAATATTTAACATCAGTGTCAATTAAATAAATTTTTCCCCAAATCAATCGACAATCATGAAAACCGCCTTATCTCTGCGGCTACCGTTCCCTGTCCGGCTGAACGGAATTTCGCCATCTCCCTGGAAAGACGAAAACACTTCGAGAAATCTTGTTAGTTCAAAAATAAATCAACCTTATAGTCGGCCAACGATGTTTACACACCCATCCAGATGTTTGGTTACAAGTCTGATCATGGCTTTTAAACGACGGTGACGTCGTCTGGAACCATTCATGATTCTCCTTTGTATTGGTTCTTCCTGATCACCAGTAACGATCTAACACAATTCAGAAAACACGAAATAATGGGAATTAGTGGTGGAGTTCAGCACGATGTGTGAAACTACAGCACATAAGCATTCAAGTTAGTTAGTAAACCTTAGAAAAGCCTATGCACAGAGGCAGTTTTGAACAAACAATATCCGACGATCTTTCAGTAAAACAGTAACAAGACGTCAGAACTAGCAAGGTAGTTAGGGCAAAAATATATAGAAAAACAAGAGGACAAAGGTTGAAAGGAAGTTTTTTAGAGAGCACTTCCAGCGCTACTTCCGCTTAGAGCCGAAGTGTGCCGTTACATTTGTGGTAGGAAAATCGTCACTTATTAACACTTTATCGACAAATAATAGGTATTTCTAGGAGTTAGTATGCGTGAAAGTCCTATTTGAAACCCTAAATTATGAGTGAGAACCTTTACTTCCACCTAGATGGCTTCATATTGAGAAGTTTCTTTCTTTCAAGAGTAATATTTCATCTTCGGAAATAGGCTTACCACCCAACAGCCTCAGTCTACTAGACGAATTTCGTCTTCTTACTTGAGTATTAAAAAATGGCTTGGTGGAAGTGGAGTCTACCGTCTCCTGACAAAGCACCATCAATGTTGATTCAAACGTTTTCTACTAAGCATAACCTTTCAAATGCCCATTAATTCACCAAGTAGTTAAGAATTCGCAGTGTATAAAAAACTTTTGACTTTTGCATGAATACCTTAATGATCGTGGGATTGACTTTCTCTCAATTGTGTTTCCAAAAAGAAATACCGAGCACCCTAGCTTTTGTGACTAAACTTAGGAATGGAGTTCCCTATGAATGATTCGAACATTATTTTAAGAACAGCTAAATTGTCGGCAAGAAGGTTTTATTATATAAAACAATAGCCGACAACGGTTTGTCGTAGCTGCGGGTTCTTACTGGTGCCAAAAACCGACGTGGAGCAAAGCTTCATCGTCAAGTGGGCTTTCCTAAACTAAGAAAAAGCGTAGCATTTTTAGGAAGAAGCCCGGTCAAGAGTTAACGACGAGCTACTTGCATCTATGCTCTACTCAAAACAATAAAAAGTAGGGAGATCGGATCAAAACTATGAGGAAACTCGAGAATATGCGAAAGAATGTGGAATTCAATCGTCTACGTCTCTTTTTAAAAGAACAGTTTTAAAAATACCGCATATCCATGTACAGCTCCCAAATTTGGTGGCCCTTGATTGTGCTGGGTGAAATTGTAGTTGCTCATCACTCTTTGATAACCATACGGCCATGCCAACATAAACGACACTGCCAGTTTGTATTGATCGGGATTTTTGTAGGTGACCTGGGTATCGATCGAATATATTGAATATTGGTGATAAGTTAACGTAAAAGATTAGAAAATAGGGATTAGCGGATATCGTCAATAGGGTTTGATATTCTCGCGAAGGGTTGCTTTTCCATTTTTGATTACAATTTTCTTTACAAAACTACGCCATTCTCCAACTTCAAATCAACTTTGTAGTTACAATTTTCGAAAACTGTGAAGTACCAATAACATCCGGCTGGTATTGTTAATTTTTCTTTTGTATTTATCATAACTTAGCGATAGCGTTGCAGGGATAGCTCAGCGGTTACTGATGTCATCGCTTAGGAAAAAGAGGTGTTGGCTCGATTCCCGCCTCAGCGCTCTCCTCCAAACCACGTAGAACGAGATAGCTATGCTATCTCGAAGATTCCAAGAAGAATTCTTTCCACCGGAATTATATGAGGATCATGAAGAAGATCAAAGCATTAAGCAGCAGTTGAAATCAGGCTAAATGTTGAATGACCGTTTTGGATGCCGGAGCGAAGATAACAAATCGAGTGCAAGAAGCGATGGGATAATAAAACTTAGCTCGGCTAGGATACCGAGTTTTCAGGTTGCTCGCTGTCACAAACCATTCGAATAATGGGACTTCTGTTGAGAATTGTCGACGTGAAATGTTTGTGCTGACCGTAAAAAGTCGTTTTAAAAAGCTATGCTCTCCACTATTGCGTAGAACTTAGCAGTGATTGATATAGAAGTTCTAATATCATTGTAATACTTGAAGAGAATTGTGAAAGCTCACAAAGGTGATGTGTGTCATGTTCGATGTTGACGTCTTCGGATTTCTAACAACCACTGATGACCTTGAAGACAAAAGTGGTGATATTCCAAAAAGAAACGAAGTCATCAGAGCCTGGAAAGGTCAAGTTGATAGCAATCTACTCGGCCAGACGCCTCCATAACCAAACAAAGAAACCCCAAACCAAGATTTCAATCACTTTGAACACAGCTTTGCGCACCCACCGCTTCCTATGAGGTTTCCACTAAGTATGTCACGTACCAACCGCACATAAATCACATGGAAGTATAATGTGCCCCTCATATCAGAAAAGCAGTTTTATATACTGCCCTATATCACGCGTGATAATGAGGCATTCTTCCCTGCGGTTCATTTTCGGATTTCTGGAATTAATCCAAAGTGCCTCGAGAGTTTTTCGCGCCAGTGTTCTTGATTCGCGTGCGAGGATCGTGACACATACTTCGAAGTCGTCCCCGCTATGTCTCTGGGTCCTATGCGTGCCTAGCGGGATATTTGGTCTATTTTTGCGGGCTAGGTGTTCTTTCATGCGGACGCAGAGGGGTCTACCCGTTTCGCCAATGTATTCGTCACCACACGTCTTACAGGAGATCAGATAAACTATACCCGAGCTCATGCAATCACCGTCTCTACCACTGGGGCAAATTATGCAATTTTGAGTTGCACATAGACGGTCATATAGGCGGTTACGAACTAGCTGGCGCTTAAGATTACTCGGTGGTATTTCAACTACGCTCACCGAATTCTCTAAGCCCGCCCTTTTTAAGCAGCGTTTTATAGCTGTACTTATATCATTTGAGATGAAGGGTAGGATAAACGAGACCCTTCTATCGCTAGAGTTGTCGTTTGGAGGCCTACGATTTCCTCTACACCTATCCTGACCTACAGTTTCGTAGCCATTAGAAATGGCTANCACGTCTTACAGGAGATCAGATAAACTATACCCGAGCTCATGCAATCACCGTCTCTCCCACTGGGGCAAATTATGCAGTTTTGAGTTGCACATAGACGGTCATATAGGCGGTTACGAACTAGCTGGCGCTTAAGATTACTCGGTGGTATTTCAACTACGCTCACCGAATTCTCTAAGCCCGCCCTTTTTAAGCAGCGTTTTATAGCTGTACTTATATCATTTGAGATGAAGGGTAGGATAAACGAGACCCTTCTATCGCTAGAGTTGTCGTTTGGAGGCCTACGATTTCCTCTACACCTATCCTGACCTACAGTTTCGTAGCCATTAGAAATGGCTATTTGCCGCGCCAAGTTCCGGGACTCCTCCCTCTGCTCTCTTCCCGTCCACACGTAGGTTGCTGTTCGAAACATGTTTCTTATGAGCGCTCTTATCGTGTGAGAGGGGTGAGAGGAGAGGTAATGAACCAAGATGTTTTACTACTTGGCTTTCGGTACCATTTTGTAATGTAGCCATTTTCTGATAGGAGAATTTGTACGTTCAAAAATGGAAGCCATTTTTCTTTCGGCTTTTCTCGGGTGAACTTGATATACTCTGACTGTGCGTTTAACACTTCGAAGCATTTGTCCAATTCCTCTTGTGTTGAGCAAAGGACAAAGCAGTCGTCTACATACCTACAGTAGAGTAGCGGCCCGAGATCAGTCACCGGTGCTTCCACCTTAGACATAAATGCAATGGCAAGGCTTGGAGCCAGTCGTTGCCCCATTGCCAACCCTCTTATTTGAGCGTAGTACTTTCCAGACCATCTGAAGATTGAGCAGCCCAAGCATTCCTTTAAGAGTGCCATCAGGTGCTCTATCCTGAAGCCATACATGTTTATTTCTCCTTCGTGTTGTGTAAGGAGTTCGAATATGGCTTGCATTGCGGAGTCATTCGGCACGTTTGTATAAAGGGCGGTAACGTCGAAGGACTCCATCACGCACGCGCTGTTGGGCTGCGCAGTACGTAGACGATCCAGAAACATCTGGATATTCGTAAGATGGGCTGGAATGTGTTTCAACAACTGGTTAAATATTAGGGTTAAAAATCATGTTATTCTGTCCGTTGGCCCGTCTACACAGCTAATGGTAGGTCTAACCTTAAATAGTGATGGATCGTTAGACGCAAGATCATCGCTGGATACTAACTTATGAGTTTTTATAAGTAAGTACAAGACGGGGCATGTTGGTAAGTCAACTCTAAGTTGAGAGATAACTGATGGTTTTAAACCAGCAGCCCTTGCCATTTTGGCCCATTCGCGGTTTAGTTTTCGGTATTTACTTTTGAATTCCTCCTCAGATGATGGGCGATAAAGCGAAGCATCTTCAAGATGCTTTTTCGTTATCTCCACATCTAACTGATGAGGAATTACAACAAACTCTCCACCTTTTATTTTTCCGTTTACCCATTGTTTATTCGTATCGAGGTATGATCAAACTCGTCGGTTTTAACGATATTCTTAGCATTGGATGGCATGACACGCCCGGTCCACTGGGGCGAAACAGTCAGATGAAGAAAAAACAATGATTTTTGTTTTAGAGTACGTAGTTATAAATGAAGTGATAAGTGATGAATGGACAGAAAAAGGAAAGGACGAAAAGAAAAGCATTGTATCTGTTGTTGTTTTCTTCGTGATATTTCGCAGCTGTGAAGCACATAATCAAACATCCAGCCGAGAAACGGGTGCTAAAATTAAAAGCGCTCTAAGCTCTTACCTGACACCCACTTTGTTGCATCGATCCACCATATCCTTAAAATGAGCTTCATTTCCACTACGCGATTCTAGCTTATAGTTAACCGGTTGATACCTGAATTTTTGATCTATTCCATGGTAACAAGGAAAAGCCGTCACCCTTAAGTGAAATTTCATTTTCGTCGAAACCACAGTTTACGGATTCTCTGTCACCTATTTCTTTTCTATTTCACTCATGAAAACATCTTCATTGAATATTCTAGTGGAAAATTTCTCCACCTAATAGGTATAACCGAAAAATACATATGAAAAAAGACGTCGATGAGAAAGCAAGTCAAAACCAACCAGTATTTCAAATCCCGCTAATACGACGGATTGTCGAAGTCAAAAAGGCGAATAGTGAACGAAATTTAGGACACTATTGATCCAAACTGAATGACCTTTTCCTTAACAAGGAAAAGCCGTCACCCCTAACATGGTGAAATAGCGAACCTTACTGCTTTGAACAAAAGCCTTTACAATCAACATATTTTCGTCCACCAGATACAACTCTACTGTTCTTAAAAAAGAATAAAGCTTTCGGCGTTTATCAGCCTCTGAGGGATGCGCCGTGCATTCGACTTCATCAAGCATTGATGGAGGTGATTGAATACATATCTAGCATTTACGTATGACTCGCGCTGGCCTACCGATGTATCGAGCCAGTGCTGCTAACCTCCCAGGCAAATTTGGTATCTTTGCCGAGTCTGGAGAGATGGAGGGCTTGCTGAGCCTGGAACGCGGGGATCGAGCCCAACTGTATTGCAGGACGCCTTCGACCACTGTTCGACACACGCTCCTTACTAATAATAGAAAGATGAAATTATGATTTTGAGAAACACAATAACCTTTTTTCTTTGCCCTTTTTGTGTAGGCTGCCATTTTAAACAGATAAGTAATTGTGTAAAGACGATTTGCCACGGTGACCAGGACGCATCGTTGATGCCAATGCGTAGATATTTCCTTATAGTTAATTCAAGAATATACGTATTTTCGATATAACCTGACACCACATATTGTGCTGATCTCAACACTTTTTTCCTTTGGTTTGTTTTCTTCAATCCGTCAGCTACAATGGGTTTGGGATTTTGCCCGTGGGTCCGGATACTGATTGAGGTTTTCGTCTTCTCCATTCATCTTGTTGAATGTTGCTCAAACAGATTCTCCTTATAACCTTGAGATAGCAGTTCTAGGCCATTTCTGAGTCCTCGCCACAAGCAGTCACCGACCTTTATGGATCGAAACAAGCTTCTATTCAAATTTAAAGAAGAGCTTATATTTTGTAATAGGGTGAAACCTCTTTATGGGCGTGCTAAATCTCTAGCTTTTAGGTGGTCAGGTTGTCGAAAAATGGGCCGTTATCTGGAAACGAGCATCACCCCAAACGTATTGAATTCAAGAAACGCAGATGAACTTCTGATATAAGCTGGTAAAATTCTCAATTGTCCATGTCCTCCTTTTCCCAGAATGCATCAGCGATAGCGGAGAAGCCAGCACTAACGGTTAATGACTTTCATTCCCTTTTTACACTTCAATTATAAAATGACATTGCACTGAATTTTGCCACTATTTGTACGAAGATGTGAAACATTTTTGTTGATTGGAAGTAACAGTTTTACGAAGGACAAGTAGTGAACCCACCTACCTGACCCACCAAGGCACGTCGTTGTTTTGCGCAAAGACAATGTGCTCATTGGGTGGCGATATCTAAAGATTTAGCTTTAGATTTTCCTTAGATTTAGATATACGGGCTGTTTCAGAATAAACGCGCCATGTGGTGAGCTATTGCCAGCCATTACAGTACCTGTACAGCTCCATATTCATAGTACTGTAAGAAGTTCTCGCATTCGGCAGCTATGTCTGTCCATTTCCACTCGAAAAGATGCACCATTGTTTGACGATTTGCTAATGTTTGAGTTTTATCGTACCTTAATAAAATATTTCTAAAGATGTATTCTTTTAATAGTTCCCAGGACCGACTTTCTCTTAACCTCGGCATTGGAATATGAATGTGTCGTTTTCTTGTTCAGCAATCGCGAGGTTTTTAAACAGCATACATTTACTTCCATAAAAAACACAATGCATTGGAATATGAATGTGTCGTTTTCTTGTTCAGCAATCGCGAGGTTTTTAAACAGCATACATTTACTTCCATAAAAACACAATACAATAAAACGCTAGCTGACGTTTCGGCAGTATCGCCTTCTTCAGAGCCTGGAAGGGTATGCTGATATACAATCTACTAGGCCAAACGCTTCAATAACACTTACACAAAGACGAAAGACTCTTTGGTAATTACATGATCGACAACTTCTCGAAAAACCCACCGCTTTTTCGTGACTTCCAATGAGGAAGCTAAGAACAGCTGATTATAGTCGCATGTGGTTGACGACTGCACCATCCCACATCAAAAATCGATGCGAACGTACGGGATCAAGCCGCGTGTGACCTCAGGGCATTCAACCCTGCTATTCATTGTAGGGTTTTTGGCATTGATCCAAAAAGCCGCTAGGAGTTTTCGCGCTGGTGTTTTGGACTCCTGTGCGAGGATATTGACATTCACTTCAAAATCGTCTCCGCTATGCTTTTGTATCCTATGCGTGCCTAGTGGGGTGCTTCGTCTTAGTTTTCGTTTGCCATCTAGGTGTTCTTTTATACGGATACACAAAGGTCTGCCCGTTTCGCCAATATATTCATCTTCGCAATTGTTACACGAGATCAGGTATATCGTACCTGAACTCATGCAATCACCGTCCCTGCCGTAAGGGCAAATTACGCAATTTGTTGTTTCACACAGACGGTCATACAGGCGGTTGCGAACTAATTGGCGACGTAGAGTAGTCGGTTGTATTTCAACTATCGCTACCGATTCCTCTAGACCTGCCCTTCTTAAGCATCGTTTTATAGCTGCGCTTACTTCATCGCTTATAAAAGGCAACACAAACGGGATTTTGTTTTGGCCAAGTGTTTCGCGTGGGCGCGTCGTTCTCCTTGTAAACTTATCTCGTGGGATTACTATTTCGTAGCCATTGGAGATGGCTATTTGCCGGGCCAAGTCGCGCGATTCTTCCTTTAGTTCCCTAGTAGTGCACACAGAGGTGGCTGTTCGAAACATGTTTCTCACAATCGCCCTCTTTGTGTGTGAAGGGTGGGAAGAAAGGAAATGGACAAGGATGTTCTTGTTACTTGGCTTTCGATACCACTTTGTCAGGTAACCGCTACTTGATAGGTTTATTTGGACGTCCAAAAAAGGAAGCCAGTTTTCTCTCGGTTTCTCCCGGGTGAACTTTATGTACTCGGACTGCTCGTTTAATAATTCGAAGCATTTGTCCATCTCCTCCTGCGTAGAGAAGACGACAAAACAATCATCTACATATCTGCAGTAGAGTAGTGGCCGGAGATCGAGAACAGGGGCTTCTATCTTAGACATAAACACAATGGCCAGGCTTGGTGCCAATCGCTGTCCCATTGCCAACCCCCTTATTTGCGCGAAATATTTCCCAGACCATCTGAAGATCGAGCAGTTTAGGCACTCCTTTAAGAGAGCCATTAGCTGCTGGATGGACAAGCCATGCATATTTATTCTTCCTTCATGTTCAACAAGAAGTTCGAAGATGGCTTGCATTGCGGAGTCA